CATGAACTCAAGGCTAGTTTACACTGCCAGTTAAGAACGGGTGGTGGTGGCACACACCTTTAGTTCTAGCACCCGGGAGGCAAAGGCAGGCGGATCTCTGTAACTTTGAGGCCAGCCTGATCTACAGAGTGAATTCCAGTACAGCCAAAGAAAGGAAGTCCAAGTGCCATGGTGGAAATGAGCTATAAGGTATATGTATATTATTAATCTTTTTTTTTTTTTTTTTTTTGGTTTTTCGAGACAGGGTTTCTCTGTGGCTTTGGAGGCTGTCCTGGAACTCACTCTGTAGACCAGGCTGGCCTGGAACTCACAGAGATCCGCCTGCCTCTGCCTCCCGAGTGCTGGGATTAAAGGCGTGCGCCACCAACGCCCGGCCGTATATTATTAATCTTGTGTACTTTAAAGTGAACCATTGAAGGAATCATTAACAAGCACTGATGGAGACAGCAAAATCTGTCAGACACCTGAGAACCATGGGCCTCATCTGGGTAACACACAGATCCTGCCTCTGGAGGGATTGGATTAGGTACAGGCATGCAATACTAGCAATACTAGTCACAAGCTGGACAGGATAACACAGTTCAGGCGGGCTGATTCAATTGAACTCTTTCTGAGGGCTTTTCTGAGGGCGGAACCAGACAATTCTCCCACCTCCGGTTCAGCCAAGTCTGTTCACTATTGAGCAACAAGAACACAGAGGACCCAGTTAGCGATGAATGGTTACTGTCAGATGGATAAAATCCAGTTCCTTCCGGAAGGCAGGCAAATGAGAAGCCGTGAAGGAGGCTGGAGACATGTCCCACGGGCTCTCTCCAGTAGTGTCTCTGGGGAATGTTGGACACTAGCGAAAGTTTCTGAGGCGCGGTGAAGCCAAGCTTTACTTGTTTCAGGTGGGTTGGCAACGCCTAATGAGAAGCGACCTCTGCACAGATGGTTCCTGAGTAAGAAGAAAAGCCCAAACCACGCCTGTGTATTCTGAGAACTCTAGATGTTAGGCAGCCAAGGCAGGGCAGACACTAGGTCTAAGGGCGCCCCCTTCATGGCTAGACAGGGCCAAGATGGTGGAACCGAGGTATCTAAGACATGGTTACTGAACCCACCCTTCTCCTGGGCTGATTCAGAAACAGTTGGCCCCAGGATTTCTCTGTATAGCGCTGGCTGTCCTGGAGCTCACTCAGTAGGCCAGGCTGGTCTTGAACTCACGGAGATCCCCCTGCCTCTGCCTCCCAAGTGCTGGGATTAAAGGCGAGCGTCACCACTGCCCAGCTGTGTCTAGCCATTTACTGGCTCTTTCTTGGGTCATCTTAGCTTCCTGCCTGTAGGTGGAAGGCCTTCCTCACTGTCCACCCTGATAAAGGCAGGCCGTGTCTTCTGTTCCTCGAAGGGATCTTACCACCTCCCAGAACCTGCTGAGAGCCCCTCCCCTTCCTGTCTAAAGGTACAGATAATTCCCATGGAGAGAAGGGGAGGGAAGCAAGATTTAAGGCACAGATTCCCACCCTACCCCCACGTACACCCAAAACAGAAACTGAGTTGCTCAAAGCAGGCAAGCAGCTGCCGAGCAAAACTCATCCTGAGTGTCTTGGTGCTGTGGACAGCTAAGAGGACCCAGGGAGAGAAGGATGGGTGCAAGGATTGGCAGCCCAAAGTTTCACGGCCCCTCCCACCCCCAAATTCTTGGAATCAGAAAGTCCAGTCTTCCAAAGTAGGTCAGCTCAGTAGAGAGCGGTTTCTGTGGAAGGGAAGGGAGCAGGGGCCTTATCCTGATAGAGACAGATTCATCCAGACTCCAGCAGCTGGGGCCCCAGGAGCGCAGGCAGGAGGGGAGACAGGGAGACCGAACTAGCGATCTGAAAGAGCTCAGGGTCACAGATCTCCGCTAGTCAGCCTAGACTGAGATGCTGTGATCCCTCTTACTTCGGGGATTGTCCGGGAGGGAGGAGGGGTAGCGGACAGGAGACTGAGTTTGCTGGAGGGGGGAGGGGCTTTCTGCCACTTCTAGAGCCTGGAGGCTGCCCCTGTGTCCTGGGCCCCATGACCTCTGGGGCCTTGGCTTTCCTAGCTGGCAGAGGATTGGGCCTTCCCTGGGACACCCCCTTCCCCTCCCTCCTCCCCACAAGCCTCTCTCTCTCTCTCTCTCTCTCTCTCTCTCTCTCTCTCTCTCTCTCTCACACACACACACACACGCACACGCACACGCACACGCTCACGCTCACGCTCTCACACACTTGCCTCCCTCTTAAGCATTTGTTGTGCAGTTCCTCTTTGTCTGCTGGGCAGGAGGGCAAACGCATCTGCCTCCCCTCCCTGTGTGCCTCCGCTCTCCACTGTCTTGGAAAAGGGATGCTGTTGTAGTCTGGCATCCCCCCCACCACGCACACACTTGTACATTTTCTCCTGCCCCCTCCCCAAGCACATCCACGCCTCTCTCTCTCCAGTACACACACACACACACACACACACACACACACACACACACACACACACACGCTCACGCCAGGCTCTCAGCACAGACACCCTGAGCTGAGCGGTTCTGCCGGCTGCAGCCGTGGGCCCCTGCTCACCGTGCGGCTGCCACTGCCTGCGAAATGACGGCGGTTCCCCTCACTTCCAGGAATCCACGCTTCCTGGAAGGTGAGTGGCTGGGCTCACCCCTGCCTGCCACCGAGACGCAGACATGCACACACCACCCGCACTCCCTCGCCGTTTCCAAGGCGGCGGCCGCGTTCGCACCCCAGGGTCTCACCGGCAAGGGAAGGATAATGTAAGTTCAGGCAGAAGGCGGCTAGCGGAGGGGGGGAAGGGGGGGTGATGGGGCTAGGGAGCCAATTCAGTAACAACTCCCAAGCCAGGAGAGGGAAAGGAGGGGGCTGTGTGTGTAGCGGGGGAGGGGGCGTTCCTCCTTACACTTGGGGAGGATGGGAAAGGGTGTTTGGTGTTGCTAAGCGAAGGTGGTGACTTGGACAGTGGGAGCCTGTGGTGACATCTTGATTAGGCCTTGGGGACAGAGGTAGAGCAGCCAGGGATGGAATGCGAAGCAGGCCTGGGTGGGAATGGATAGTAGAAAAGCCCTGAGGTGAGGAAGAGGAGCTTTGACAGCTTCATCCTGGAACAGAGGTGTGAGGGGCCTCAGCCTCCTGCCCACAATAGAGCCGGGATGCTGTCTTTCTTGGCTTACGCACTCACTGGTCCCTGATAGCAGGCTAGCATCCTGTCACCTGGAGCCCATGGTCAAGAAGAGAAAGCAAGAGGATGAGGTCCCTTGCAGAGAAGTGCAGAGGCTTGCCGAGCTCCAGGCTCTTCCCCAGAGGCAGCCACTCAAGGGATGCCGGAGAGGGCTGGTCTCCTTCAGTGTGTGAGATGCATCTAGTGGTGTTCCGCTCCCCTAGCCCTTCCCTCCGGCTTCTCTGCCCTTTCTCCTCCTCTCAGTTGCTCTGATGTGAACCTTACGATTTGGCTTTGCTCCCTGGGGGTTTCAGCCAATCCATGATGGCTTTGACCAAGAAAATGTCTCTGATACCTGAGAGCAGCCTTCCTTCTTGGCTCTGACAGTCTGAGATTTCTTGGAAGTCCCAGGCATTTGAAATTCCCTCACTGGGATTTTCTGGGGCTGAGAGGGGAAACCGGATGAGTTTCCCAAATCTGACTTTTGTCCCTGTCACCCTCAAGCTAGAAATCTAAATCCCTGGAGCCCCACAAGACCTTCTGCCCTTTGACACAGGCTCCTTCTTAAATTTTAGAGCCGTGAAAGTAGACTTGAGTCTGTTTCCCCTCTTGTCTTTATCCTAGGGATGACAACAGCATCAAGGAGCCTATGTGATTGCTGTTGCTTTTCCAGGCTCCCGATCTCTCTCCTGTTTCCAGCCCTTGATTGGGAGAACCACAAAGAATGCGTTTCCCTCAACATCCCTCAGTATCCCTTTTAGAATACTGTCCCCCAGCTAGCTAGTCCCCTAGTCTCAGAGGCAACCCCAGCTCCAGGAGGCTGGGACCAACCAAGTATGGATTTCCATGAAGGTCACCCATCATTTTAGGATCAAGGCTTTAGCAGGTCCCTCGTTACTAATATTGAGCGATTGGGGCAAGTCAGTGCTAACCTTTGAAAGAGTAAGGAGCTGGGTGTGAGCCAGGTGTGACTCACGCCTGTAATCCCAGTGCTTGGGAGGCTGAGGCAGGAGGATGGTGAGTTTACTTAGCCTTTGTCAGCCCCTCTAAGCTTCTAACCTCAGTAAACTCAGTCAAAAGGGCACTTGTTAAAACTGGGCCTGAATCTACAAGTCTTAATGGTTCCGGGCTGCTCACTGCATGGTTTGTGTACGGTGCTGACTTCAGGGAACTTGGGGGTTTTTTTGTTTTTGTTTTTGTTTTTCAAGACAGGGTTTCTCTGTATTGTCTTGGAGGCTGTCCTGGAACTCACTCTGTAGACCAGGCTGGCCTTGAACTCACAGAGATCCGCCTGCCTCTGCCTCTCGAGTGCTGGGATTAAAGGCGTGGGCCACCAATGCCAGGCGACTTCAGGGAACTTTTTTTTTGTTTTTTTTTTTTCCGAGACAGGGTTTCTCTGTAGCTTTGGAGGCTGTCCTGGAACTCACTTTGTAGACCAGGCTGGCCTCGAACTCACAGAGATCCGCCTGCCTCTGCCTCCCGAGTGCTGGGATTAAAGGCATGCGCCACCACCGCCTGGCTTCAGGGAACTTTTTAAGAGAACTGTTAACTCCTAAGGGGGCTCAGCTTGGGGAAATTGGATTCGAGCCATAAGGCTTTTCCCACAGCTGGTGATCAGGGTTCCTCGGGCTTCCACGGGATAGAATGGGGAGTGGGACATCCTTTAGGAAAGGATGTGAACGGGAAATGGTCCCAAAGTCCTGAGTGGTTGTTTTCTTCCCACTGACCAAAGCTGGAGAGGGATCCCTCAGGAGGGTGTGCTCCGGATTTCTTGCCTCAGGCCCAGGACTCCAACCATTTTATAATGGAATCTTTATTTTGTGAAAGTAAGTATGTGCATAGCTGGGAAACTGGGTAAAGTATTAACCTAGGTGAACTTTAGGGATGAATTTTAGGGTCTCTCTCTCTCTCCCCCCTCTCTCTCCCCCTCTCTCCCTCTCTTTCTCTTTCTCTCTCCCTCTCTCTCCTCTCCCTCTCTCTCTCTCTCTCTCTCTCTCTCTCTCTCTCCCTCCTTCCCGTGTTTAGCCTTCTGTGCATATCCCCATGCATGTTCATGTTAGCAGATAATATGCTTTGATGTTTACTCTAGTAGGTATGTTCTCTTCATGTGTATCTACATATGTGATCTGCATTTGTGTGTTTATTTACATGTGCTTTTATTTCACTCATATGTTTGTGCAGAAAATTGTGGGGAGGGGGGACTTTCTTGAAGACGCTCATGTTTCTAAGGTATGTCATCAGATTTTTTTTTTAATTTCAGAAAGCATTTTTACAAAGTATTTGGTCAGCAGGTTGAAGTGAATGCATTCAGGATAGCTGATATTTAGCCCTCAAGAAAACATCAAACAGTAAATATGGGATCAGCTAGAAAGTTTGGCTGAATTTAGAGAGCCTAAGGAGCCCAACTCACCCCCACTGGCCAAGAGGTGGCCAAGGGCTCAGCATGGCCTCCTGTGGCCCTCTGCTAGCTCAGCCACCACCGTTTAGACAAGTGACATAAACTTCTGTGTCTCCGAATCCAAAACATTAAAGTAATATCGCAGCACCTATTTCGTAAGAGGGTTGCAAAGCTTAAAGGGGAAAGTGCATCCCAAGCACACAGACTAATGCCTGGCACAAGTGTGCACTCGCTAAATATTAGCCGCTGTCAGTATTGTTAACGGATGTCATCGTCAGGTTCTGGACAGCTCTAGATGCCCTCCCTGCAGACTCCAAAGTCGCTACTGGGAGCTCCAGAGAGAGAGAGAGAGAGAGAGAGAGAGAGAGAGAGAGAGAGAGAGAGAGAGAGAGAGAGAGAGAGAGAGAGAGAAAAGAAAGAATGTCCCCTGGTGCCACCTTTGAGCAGGTTCCTGTTCTCTATTCTACCCTGGCCCGCCCAGCCCTGGCCCTGCTTCCTGCAGAGCTAGGCAGTGGGTGACGCTCCTTCCCCTCAGGCATAAAGGCATAAAGGTAGGGTAGGCCAGACTGCTAAATTCACAGAAGTTAAGGTCAGCATTGAGCTCCAGGCCACAGGGGCATAAGGTAGGGGGGTACTTACATTCAGCCTACCTTATACATGTATAGGATCAGTGCTTGTGAATTTTAACTTAAGTTTTAAAAAAAGATGAAGATTAGGTAGTGGACCGTAGAGGCTCCAGTCCAAGCTTTACCTGCAATCTGTTCTCTCCTCCAAGGTAGCGGGGACTCATCTCTGGAGAAGGAGTTCCTTGGGGCCCCAGTGGGGCCCTCAGTGAGCACCCCAAATAGCCAGCACTCTTCACCCAGCCGCTCACTCAGTGGTAAGTGTGATCGTCCTACCCATTTCCGACACCAGGCAGCCCCATTTTTGTCTGACCCTCAGTTTGCCTTCTCCTGGCCACTGTTTCCCCATCACCGCCAGCTCAGAGATGCTCAGGGCCTCGAGGCAGCGGGAAGGAGCCCATCAACCAGTTGCTTACCTTGCTTCTGAAAAAGAGTAAATAGCTCATGCCAGACTGGGGTAAAATTAAAAGGTGTGTGGGTGACATTAAGATAAAGGTTTCAGCAGAACACAGTGGCACACACCTTTAATCCCAGCACTCAGGAGGCAGAAGCAGGCTGATCTCAGTGAGTTCAAGGCCAGCCTGGTCTACAAAGAGAGTCCCAGGACAGCCAGGGCTACACAGAGAAATCCCATGTTTGGGGGGTGGGGGAGGGATAAAGTTTCCAAAGAAAAATTCTGGAATTGGAGACAGAAGTGGTGATTGGGTAGGGAGAGGCAGAAAAGGAACAGTGACAAGACTTCCTCACCTCCCTCCCATCCTACTTCTCCTGCCAGGCAGGGTCCCCCTGAATGCCCCTCCCCAGCTGGCCCTAGATCTGTGACATTCTCTAAATGGTTGAAATAGCCAGGAATGTAGGTCAGAGCCAGTGCCAAAGCTCCTCCCCTGTGTCCCCTCAGGTTCCTCGGAAGAGCATAGGGGGTTCAGGCTCATAGGGGAGAATGAGTCACCCCTGTCTTCCAGTTCTACTGTCTTTAGCCTGCTGTCCCCTTCAGTCTCCCCACGACTGTTTTCCCGCCACTGTTTCTTACTGGCTTCCTGCCCCAGGCAGGCCCAGACATCTATCTTTCTTTTTCTGTTTTCTTTTTTTAGACAGGGTCTTGCTCTGTAGCCCTGACTGACTTGGAACTCACTCTGTAGACCAGGCTGACCTTAAAACTCACAGAGATCCACCTGGCTCTGCCTCCTGAGTGCTGGGATTAAAGGTGTGTGCCACCATCACCCAACCAAATATCTTTCTTAATGACGAGAGAGTGCAGGCAAAGAGCCATCTAAAGTCATCTCCTTGCCCGCTGACAGAAGACATCCTGTGAATTCCATTTTTTTTTTCTTTTAAACTCTATTTGCCTGGTGGGTGGTGGGTGGAAAGACAGTTTTCAGTTCAGATGAGTTCTGGAAGACATCCAAGATAGTAAATAGGCTATTTCCCCTCCTGACACTCTGCCTCCGGGTTCGCAGTCACCCTGTTGGGCTATAAAGGTGTCACTCTGCCCCGGGAGTGGTTGTCCCCTTGCCTGCCTCTGTTCTAAACATCAGCCCCCTGACCCCCAGCCAACTCCATCAAGGTGGAGATGTACAGCGATGAGGAGTCGAGCCGACTGCTGGGGCCAGACGAGCGGCTCCTGGACAAGGACGACAGTGTGATTGTGGAGGACTCGTTGTCAGAGCCCTTGGGCTACTGCGATGGAAGCGGACCAGAGCCTCACTCCCCTGGCGGCATCCGGCTACCCAACGGCAAGCTCAAGTGTGACGTCTGTGGCATGGTCTGCATCGGACCCAACGTGCTCATGGTTCACAAGCGGAGCCACACTGGTGAGTAGGCCGAGGGCTCTAATGGAGGCTCTGACGGGAGAGCTCCGGGCGAGGCTGGGGTGCCAGGCGGAGGGGTGCTAGGACATTGGCGGGGGAAGGGGAGGCTGGAGAGACCCGAGGTGGGCGCTCAGGAAGGGAAGGGTCAACTTCGAGGCCCTTTTCTTCAGCTGCTGTGACAAAGAAAAGCTACTTACCACTCCTTTCTCAGGGTGTCGGGGAGAGAGTGGGTGTTGGGGCCCCAGAAGGATTTTTGAAGCTACGGTATAGATAGTGGCGGGGGAGAGGGGGGTGCATGTGTAAGGCCTTGTGGTGGATCTCAACACCTAAAGTGTCTGCAGAAGTTGGAGGGAGCTGCCTATAGTCAGTCCAAGAGGGACGGAATTCCAGGGCTTTCTCGTCTCATAATTTAAAAGGGGATGTAGCGGGGAAGCCTCTGCTTACCCTCCTCAGACTTTGAGCTCTCTGGACAGACTGGGCTCCAAGCTGAAGCGTCTAACTAATTACTCTTTTTTTGGGGGGGGGTTTCGAGACAGGGTTTCTCTGTGGCTTTGGAGCCTGTCCTGGAACTCGCTCTGTAGACCAGGCTGGTCTCGAACTCACAGAGATCCGCCTGCCTCTGCCTCCCGAGTGCTGGGATTAAAGGCATGCGCCACCAATGCTACACGGAGCTATTTTGGGTAATAGTCTTTTGGCAGGTCTTCTAGGCACTGTGCTGGTATCAGGCACACCTCTAGTCCACACCTTTCCAGGGTAAGAGGGCCCCCAGGTGACTTCTATAAAGTAGGCCTGGTATGTGTGGCACTCACTACTCCCCCAGAAAGTTCTCAGAGAACTTTCCCCTCGCCTTCAACACACCTCACACCAGTCTTCCCGGAACCTGCTCTTCCACCGTAGGGGAAAGGCCTTTCCACTGCAATCAGTGCGGAGCCTCCTTCACGCAGAAGGGGAACCTGCTGCGCCACATCAAGCTGCACTCCGGGGAGAAGCCCTTCAAATGCCCCTTCTGCAACTACGCCTGCCGCCGTCGGGACGCCCTGACTGGTCACCTCCGCACACACTCAGGTCAGTGACTATGCAGGAGCAGAGAGAAGGCACCCAGCACGCTCAGAAAAGAGCTTCAAGATGTCTGAGCACTGGAGAGGGACAGCGTCTGTCACTGAGGAGTGGGAGCACTCAAGGGGAGCACTCATGGGGAGCACTACCGGAGCATGAACAGAGCAGATAGGGCCCTGCCTTGCTGACCTATGAGGAACTTGTGGGGCTCTCCCCTGGGGTATTTTACTGCCACACTCTGTGACGTGCAGTAAATGGCTAACATTCCGGGCTTGCCCTAATGTTTGTTTTCCTTTTCTTTTTTAAAGATTTATTTTATTTTTATGTGCATTGGTGTCAGGTTCCCTGGAACTGGAGCTACAGACAGCTGTAAGCAGCCATATGGGTGCTGGGAATCGAACCCGGGTCCTCTAGAAAAGCAGTCAGTGCTCTTAACTCCTGAGCCATCTCTCCAGCCCCCTAACCTTTGTTTTCTAAACATTTTAATGATGCCAACCCCATATGTGTCTCATCACCTCTAACTCTGAGCCCAGTGGGAGGCTTCTTTCCACTCTCGTTTGCACGAGGAACTACACTTGTCACCATCTTCTTTCAAGATACCAGAGGCCTTGGACAATCACTGCATGTCCACCCTCTACTGCCTATAAAAAATCTGCGGACCTCCCAAACTGGCAGAAAGGGAGCTTGGACCTCCAAATAGGAAAAGACTGTCCCATTTCCGTTCTGCATCCCAAGGAGTAGTGATTTTCTCATAGACAAAGCAAATCCTGAGAGTACCCAGGAGCCAGTGCCGGCGAGGCAGAGGCAGGAAGGTCAGGTATTCAAACAGCTTGGGCTCTGTGAGACCCTGTCTCACAATAACAAAATAAACGATTAGTGTCGGTTGAAAGGTGTGTTTTTTTTTTTTTTTTTTTTTTTGGTTTTTACGAGACAGGGTTTTCTCTGTATTGTTTCGGAGGCTATCGGTCCAGCCCGGCCTCGAACTCACAGAGATCCACCTGCCTCTGCCTCCCAAGTGCTGGGATTAAAGGCGTGCGCCACCATCGCCTGGCTGAAAGGTGTTTTTACTAAGTTTTGAACCCTTGACTGGATTGAGCTGGCAAGGAGAGGAGAGCTGAGGGTTGAGAAGAGGAATTAATTAATTGTCCAGCCCTAGAATCTTTCCTGGGCTTTTCTCTTTTTATAAACCCTCCTGGGTAGGACTTGAAGGGACAGAGGCAGTGGCAACCTCTGCTTCTTCTATCCTGCCTTGTTCCAGATTCTCCTCTGTGTGTGTGTGTGTGTGTGTGTGTGTGTGTGTGTGTGTGTAACTGACACTTTGTAATCTACAGAGAAATGTTGTGTCTCCTTATGTGATCATAAGCTGGGGAAGGAGAAAAACAAAATTCCAGATGAAAATGCCCCACCCCAGGCATCCACTTATTGGGACAGGGTCTCATGTATCACAAGCTGACTTCAAGCTCCCTGTGTAGCCAAGGATGACCTTCACTTTCTGACCTCTGGAGTCCCGGGATTGCAGGGGTGCACCACCACTCCTGCTTACGAGCTGCTGGAGATGGGACCTAAGGCTGCCCACACGCTACGCAAGCACACTACCAACAGAGCTACAGCCCCGGCCCTAAAGCCCCTACCCCTGTTTGTTTAACAAGGACAATGATATTATGGGGAAGGAAATAAATGTTCTAGACTGTAGCCTGGCCGGTTCCTATCAAAATCACATGGCCAAAACATGTTCTTTTTTCTCAGAGTCTCACTCAGGCTCTGGCTAGCCTAGAACTTGCCGTGTATGTAGCTCATGCTGGCATGACACCACAGAGACCCAATTGCATCTGCCTCCTAAGCACTGGGGTTAAAGATAGGCACTACCATGCCCTGCTGTCCCCCAAACTCTTTTTTTTTTAAAGATTTATTTATTATGAATACAACATCCTACCTCCATGTCTGTCTGCAGGCCAGAAGAAGACACCAGATCTCATTATAGATTGTGGTTGCTGGAATTAAACTCAGGCCCTCTGGAAGAGCAGTCAGTGCTCTTAACCTTCGAGCCATCTCTCCAGCCCTGCAGTCCCCCAAATTCTTGACAAGATCAACTGACTAGATTTCTAATGTTGTTGCATAGGAGATTAAGGGGGAAATCAGACATACGTGTAGGTCCCAGCTCTGTGAGATGCTTCCTGTTACAAATCACATTGTAAACACTTAGTTTACAGATGAAGAGCAACACAGCGAAGGCTGATTTGGTCGTAGTCGAGCATAGATGTATGTGGGGTGAATGATATTCACCAGTTTCCTAGCAATGCCTTCTCCCGAATCCCTGCTCAATAATAGCAGTAAACACAAATATACTTTGTTCCTCTACTGGTTTTTTCCTCTCTCACACAAAAAAAAGCCACCTCCCAAGAATTGTGTTTAAACAAAGCTACCAGTCTCAATTTTCCATTGTTTTCTTTCAAAGCTTTAAAACACATTCTTGTTTGTTTGTTTTTTGTTTTTTGAGACAGGGTTTCTCTATGGCTTTGGAGGCTGTCCTGGAACTAGCTCATGTAGAACAGGCTGGTCTCAAAACTCACAGAGATCCGCCTGCCTCTGCCTCCCAAGTGCTGGGATTAAAGGCGTGTGTCACCACCGCCCGGCCAAACATGTCCTTTTTTAAGACAAAAAATAGAAAGCACAGTTGTTCTCTTTCTTTTACCCTTCCACCATCTTCTCTGTTCTTCTGCTCTTTGCCTCTTTTTCTCGTCAGTGTTGGGCTCTCTGGGGGCTCTCTTGGTGTCTCAGTACAATGACGGGGGGGGCGGTGAACACGACACACCAGTGAAGCTAGACAACCGAGGATAAAGAAAGCAAGTAAGGGCCGAGGACTGGTGCCCCTGCCCTGCCGCATGGGCGGATCCAACGGCTCTCGTTTCTGTTGCCTCAGCCCACCAGTTTCCCTCCAGCCAAAGCAGAGTACTCGCAAGCAAAAAAGTCCCCTCGTAGGCACCCACCCGCAACTCGGAAAGGTTAAACCACAGTCTGAACCCCAGACTCTGAGGTCCTGGGGTGGGGCCTGCCGTGCCTACCAGGGACGATCCCCTACTAAGTCCCCAGGTCATCACTTCCTTTCAGAAGCAGCCAGAGCATCTAGACTCCCGCTACCAGTGTGACCCTGCGTGCCGCGGGCCCCCTCCCCTTAGCTGTCCGGTGACACTCATCCTCAAATGTGGTTCACCTGCTCTTTGTTGTAGGTGGAGTTGGGGGAGGGATGGCAAGCCCCCCACCCTCACCCAACCCCCCAAAAAGTTAGCAGGTTTCTCTCATCTGCGTGCCAGTATGCCGTTGCTCCTGGTGGTGCTTCGGAGCCAGGGACAGGGAGCAGTCACGCTCACGGTGCCTCTGCTCTCTCCTCCAGTCTCTTCTCCCACAGTGGGCAAACCCTACAAGTGCAACTACTGCGGCCGGAGCTACAAACAGCAGAGCACCTTGGAGGAGCACAAGGAGCGTTGCCACAACTACCTACAAGGCCTCAGCACTGAAGCCCAAGCTTTGGCTGGCCAACCAGGTGGGGCTGTGGGCAGAACCAGAGGGGAGCTGAGGGCGGGGCCAGGGACTCAGGCAACAGTGATTCCAGCACCTCAGCAAACACAGATCGCACTCAGTAAACCTCCCAAGCACACACTCCTCACCACCCCGTGGGTCTTTAAGGGAGATCCAGACATAGAAGAAATCTGGCCTCTGGAGGCAGAGGCAGGCGGATCTCTGTGAGTTCGAGACCAGCCTGGTCTACAGAGCGAGTTCCAGGACAGGCTCCAAAGCTAGAGAAACCCTGTCTCAAAAACAAAACAAAAAACTGTAAAAAGAAGCTTTTTCTTTTGATAGGGGCCTTCCCGCCACCCTGGTTCTAGAACCACAAACAGAAAAAGAGATGTGTATCTTCAATCTAAGTGGAGAGAAAGCACAAAGAATAGAAGGTCAAGGGGTAGATGTATATAATCGTCCTCAAATGGTCTGGAGCGTTCCTTGAATGAGCTTTAGGTAGGGTAAAGAGCCCATAATGGCACATACCTGTAAGCCCAGCACTTAGAACACAGAGGCAAGTGGATCTCTGTGAGTTCAAATCAGCCTGGTCTACAGAGTGAGTCCAAAGCCAGTCAGGGCTGCATAGTGAGATCCTGTCTCAAGAAAAAGGAAGGAAGGAAGGAAGGAAGGAAGCCACCCAGTTTCCTAGGTATGACCTTCCTTGACTACTGACTGGCTGACTTTCTCCAGGCAAAGGCTTCGGGGCCAATGCCACTCATATTCAGCTGCTGTCACCTGGCCCTCCCCTCCAGGTGACGAAATGCGTGACCTGGAGATGGTACCAGACTCGATGCTGCACTCATCATCTGAGCGGCCAACTTTCATCGATCGCTTGGCCAACAGCCTCACCAAACGCAAGCGTTCCACCCCACAGAAGTTTGTAGGTAAGAGTCCTTTAAGCCCCAATCAATCACAGCTTTGATTGCCATTAGACCAGAGACCTTGAGTCTGGTGATTTGATTTAGCACAGGATGGGGGCCAGGCTAGTGGTCTCTGTGGTGCTCAGAATGTCCCCTCAGACAGGAGTGGATGGGGAGGGAGGACACACTTCAAGAGACTTGGGGGCCATAGCTCAGTCTGTGGGGTGCTTGCCTTGCAATATGAGAACTAGAGTCTTTATTCCCAGAACCTACATAAGAAGACCAGGCATGGTGGCATGTGCTTATAATCCTAGCCCTGGGGAGGCAGAGGCAGAAGAATGCTTGGGGTCACTGGTCAGGCTGGCCAGCCTAATTGGTGATCTCCAGGCCAATGACAGATCCTGTTCCAAAGGAGGTGCATGGCATCCCTGAGTATGACACCCAAGGTTGTCCTCTGACCTCTACATATATGTACACATACATACGCATGCACTGAACAGAGATGAATAGGCACACATGCACACATACAAAACACACATAAAAGAGAGAGCAGAGAGCAGTCGTGTTGAAGACCCATGCAGGCTCAAGGTTTCCCGTCTTGTAAGAATAGCAAGGATTGCTCTGTGCGGGTCAAGAGAGAGGAAGTTAACATGACCCTGACCAGCAAATGGCATTATCTCTCTGAGCATCTGAAATTTCATAGAGAATGATGACCGTGAAACTTCATAGATGTATGGTAATATATTATTTATGATTTATTAAGGCTTGCCTGAGGGTTCAGAAAGCAAAGCCAGCCATGAGCCATAGAGGTCAGGCAGTGGTGATACACTCTGTTAATCCCCGCAGCATAATAGCTATCCATAGAACCAGGCAGTGGTGGCACACACCTTTAATCCCAGGACTCAAGAGACAGGCAGATGGGTCTCTGTTAGTTTAAGGCCACACTGAGCTACATGAAATTGATCCAGCCCTAAAGAGAAACAACTCACACATTTGGGGATCACACGCCTTTACTCCCAGGATTTGAGAAGTATAAAAGGAAGAGGTAGCAGTCTGGGATTGCAGTCTGAGTCTTGGTGGAGACAGGATTGCAATCTGAGGCTTGGGGAGATTTATTCTCCAGCCACGCTAAGGAGAGGACAGCCCTTTCAGTCTGAGGTAGAGGTACGAGCTAGTGGCCAGCTGCTTTGCTTATCTGACCCTCAGCTTGAACCCCAATATCTGTCTCTGGGTTTTTATTTTTCGTGTTACAGAGACGCCTTGCCCTAAGACTACAGCCTGCCTTGGACCTGACCCTCTGGGAAGTAAATGAGGTTTATTAAATGATGTTTCTTGGGACTATGGATATATATATATATATGCATATATATCTCAGTGGTAGAATGTGTGCTTCCCATCTGTGAAGGCCTGGGTTGGGTCCCCAAAACTAATGAATAGTGACGATAACAATGCCGTTATTATGAGGCCCCTGGGTTAGAAAACAAGCAAGTACTCTGGGCATAACTGCTGGCTTCTTTAAAGCCAGTCCCGATGAGATCTGACTCTCCCCACAGGTGAAAAGCAGATGCGCTTCAGCCTCTCGGACCTCCCCTATGATGTGAACCCCGGCGGTGGCTACGAAAAGGATGTGGAGTTGGTGTCGCACCACGGCCTGGAGCCCGGTTTTGGAGGGTCTCTAGCCTTCGTGGGCACAGAGCATCTGCGTCCCCTCCGCCTCCCACCCACCAACTGCATCTCGGAACTCACACCTGTCATCAGCTCTGTGTACACCCAGATGCAGCCCCTCCCCAGCCGGCTGGAGCTTCCGGGGTCCCGAGAAGCAGGTGAGGGACCCGAGGACCTGGGAGATGGTGGTCCCCTTCTCTATCGGGCCCGAGGCTCTCTGACGGACCCCGGGGCATCCCCCAGCAATGGGTGCCAGGACTCCACGGATACAGAGAGCAACCACGAAGACCGGATCGGCGGGGTGGTATCCCTCCCTCAGGGTCCCCCAGCTCAACCTCCTCCCCCCATCGTGGTGGGCCGGCACAGTCCCGCCTATGCCAAAGAGGACCCCAAACCGCAGGAGGGGTTACTGCGGGGCACCCCAGGCCCCTCCAAGGAAGTGCTTCGGGTGGTGGGTGAGGGCGGCGAGCCCGTGAAGGCCTTTAAGTGCGAACACTGCCGCATCCTGTTCCTGGACCACGTCATGTTCACCATCCACATGGGCTGCCACGGCTTCAGAGACCCCTTCGAGTGTAACATCTGCGGTTATCACAGCCAGGACCGGTATGAGTTCTCTTCCCACATTGTCCGGGGGGAGCATAAGGTGGGCTAGCGGCCTCTCTCGCCTCGCCTGCCCCCAGCCCGCCACTCCACTGCCCCACCTACAGGTGTCTAGCCCAAATCCCACTACGCCCCAAGGAGTTTTGTATTGTAGCCCATTCACTGGCCGCCTCACTTCACGCTCCGACCCCTCCTCGCCGGCTCCCACCCTGACTGGTGTAAGCATTGACTAGACGAGTCTTTTGCTTACATGTCTCCTCCTAAACTCCTTCCCAGCTTTTTACTAGTGACTTTCCCTTGGCCTTTTTACATTTTCTGCAATCTCTGGCTATTCCTTCACTCCCCATGGCTCCCTTCTCTAAGCCTAGATTTTTTTTCTACTTCCTCCTGGACCCCGCATCCTCCAGCAGCCCAGGGGTTGGAAGCTCCTCTCTGTAGTACGAGACATTGAGCTTCTTGCTTTAGTCCTCACCTTTATTTATCTGGTTCTTCACTTTTGATGCCGATACCTCCCAATGGCCCCAACCTGAGCTCCGTGGCATTATCTGTCTCCTCTCTGGGACCCTTCAACCTGGTACTCCACACCTCTCGTGCCCTCTCACTTTAGGCAGCTTGCGCTACTACTCTGAAATGGATGAGGAATTTCCTCGTTGGAAGTAGGAGGGGTCTGCAGAAACTGTCCCCTGTGGGCTGAGGTTCCCTCCTGACCTCACCTGGGAATGCAAGCCCCCCTAAAGCGACCGTTCAGGATCTCCCTCCAGGATGTGACATCACTCAGCTCTTCCCCCTCCCTGGCTCACCCCTCAACTCCACTCTGGTCGCAACCTGCCACTCCCCTCAGTGGTGGCTTCTCTCTTCTTGGAATGCCCCCATTTTATATTCTCAGGGGCTAAAAGCTAGGCCTACAACCTAGTCTGACACACCCAGAGCTTAGGTGCCTAGCTGAGAACCAGGGCACGGGAAAGGGGGTGGGTAGAAATCTCTCCTCCACCTTTCAAGCTTTTTTCACTCCAGTGACCTTCCTAGGCCCTCAGGGACTCCTTCTGTCCCCACTCTGTGAGAAACTGGCGGGCTGCTGCCCAATGACCATGGGCCTCCAGAGTCACGCTGCCTTCTTCCTCTCCCTCCCAGCAGGGTCCACGATCTCATTCCCAGGCTCCTGGGCCCTGCAGTTACCAGTGGCAAGGAGAAAGGGATGTCTCTTTTCTCTCTGCTAATTTTTCAGTATAACCAAAAATTGTCCCAGGATGAATGACATGTATGTGCCCGTCGACCATTCCACCCTTGTCCCGGCAAGAATGGGATGGACACAGCTAACTGGGAGTCACCCTTCACTGCCCTTCCATGCTCGGCCCGGGACACAGGGCAGGAGGGGCATTCTTCTCTGGTGGTTGCAGAGACCCTGGCTATTTGGATAATCGAGGATTCGTAAGACCATGCAGGAGAAGGCAAAGTCCCACTGCACAAGGAGGTCTCTCTCTAGAGAGTTCCCTGCCAGGGCCACAGCCATCCCCCTCTCTGCTCCTTTGAGATTCAAACCAAAGGCTGTTTTTCTATGTTTAAAGAAAGTAAGAAAAAAGTAGAAACCAAACACAGCACCTCATTAGTCACAAGTCTTGGTCTTCTCTCTCCCTTTCCTCCCCTCCGTCTTTCTTCCCGTGTCCTCTCTCTGTTGCCTCTCTCTTGCCTGTCTCTCTCTTTCTCACTTCCTGTTAGGGATATCGAGAGGCATGAAAGGGTGGGCTAGACCAGATCCTGGGGCTGGGGCTGGTAAGCCTTCTGGAGAGTCTACTTTCCCCTCTCATGAGAAGGGCAGGGTGAAAACACTCTTCTGCATTGCATGGCTTCCAGACTGGCAGGGAGGAGCTCCGTGGGGTGGTTCTTACTCCTTGACGCTCTAGCAATAAGCAGGTGCTGCCAAAGGTGGAGAATGGAATGGGGTACGAGCTCCCAAGGGAGCCAACCCAAGAGAAGGGAAGGGTCTTGGAGACAGAACCTTGGCACTAACTCCTAGGGATGGCAGCAGAGCTGAGGTTGGTGTCTGCACTCCTCCTGAGCTGTTCTGGCTACCCAGCGAGCCTCTTCGCGTGAGACCGGCTCCCACCACCTCTGTGTCCGCCATGTATCTGGGGATACCTCAGAAGGGCCAGTCCCTCTGAGGCATCGGAGCCTTTGAGTGCCCCATGCGTCCCTCCCTTTAGTCAGCCTTAGCACCTGTAACCCCAGAAACCTGAAGGACTATGCTCCGAGGCTATCCTACGTGCCCACAAGAGCAGAGATGGAAGGACAAGACCGGGTGCTAGGGAGGAGAGGGGCACTGTCTCTCTCCAGACCATCACTGCACTTTAACCAGGGTCTTAGGTGCAAAATCCTACTTTTCAGAGACCTCCAGCTCTGGAACCTCAAGCATCCTCACACTCTCTCCCAGCCCCTTTTGCATAAAAAAAAAGTAAAGAAAAAGAAAAAAAGTCAATGATTGCAAAACACCCAAAACCCACACAGAGAAAAGAGGTGTTTTCTTTTTTACTACTATTCAAAAACAACACCACAAGAAAAGTAGGGGGAAGGGAGAGATTTTTAAATAGACACTTTTCCAGACCTTTGTGTACGTGTGTGTCGGTGTCCAAGCTGCAGGTGGAATTTTGTAATACTTCTGGCAGCTTCTTTCCTTGTGTAAATAATATATATATATTTTTAATCAGAAATTATGAAGATCAAAAATAGAATAAACACAGAAGCAAGTGCAATATCACCTCCTCCCCGGGGTCCCTCAGTTTGGTGACCTTTTGACCTTTGCCCCTTCACCTCTGCTTTGGTCCTCTGGCTCCTTACCTCCCCTCCCCTCCCTCTTTTTAATGAGTTTTTCTCCTTCCTCAAAGGGAGTTAAACCAGCTTTTGAGACTTCCTGCAAAGCATTTTGTATATGTAACATACTGTAAGTAAATATTTGTGTAATGGAGAAATACTACTGTAAGTTTTGTACTGTACTGGCTGAAGGTCTGTTATAAATAAACATGAGTAATTTAACAGTTTGTTCTGGGAGACTCCCTTTGCCTTGTTTTCCTTCTGGGAGGGAGGCAGACTTTATCCCACTATTTCTCTGTTCGAGACGTAGACAGGTCTAAGGCAGAGGGGTACCAGACAAGACAGCTGCCACTGCTGGTCTAGCAGAGCAGAAGTTTTTTTTCTTCGAGACAGGGTTTCTCTGTGCAGCCCTGGCTATCCTGGAACTCACTCTGTAGACCAGGCTGACCTTGAACTCACAGAGATCCACCTGTCTCTGCTTCCCCAGTGCTGGGATTAAAGGTGTGCGTCACTACTGCCTGGCCAGAAGATTATGTTTGAGACAGAGTCTGTGTAGCCTCGCTGGTCTGGAACTCAGAGCTCCTCCCATCTCTGCTTCCCAAATTCTGGGATTAAAGGTGTGGGGGACCATGACTGGCCTGTATTATTATTTTTTATTATAGTTTGATTATGACATTTCTCCTCTTTCTGTCCTTCAAATCCTCTCGTATACATGTCCCAAGTTTCGTTTTTGTTTTTTGTTTTTTGTTTTTTGTTTTTTGTTTTGATTTTTGAAGCAGGGTTTCTCCGAGGCTTTTGGAGGCTGTCCTGGAACTAGCTCTTGTAGACCAGGCTGGCCTCGAACTCACAGAGATCCACCTGCCTCTGCCTCCCAAGTGCTGGGATTCCAAGTTTCTTTCAAATCCAGGGTCTCCGTTTTTATCATTTTTGCATATATATATTCCTAGATACAGCCTGGTCAGTCTGTATAAAGCTACTGTATGTATGCTTCAGTGCTGACCATTTGGCACTGAACAACCAATTGTTGGGCTCCTCCCTGGGGAGGACCACTTCTCTTGCTCCCAGCGTTCCTCAGTTGCCTGTAGTTCTTCGTGGGGTCCAGGCTTTTCTCCATCCAGTTTGGTGCATTCTTTGGTGTCATCCTTGTTTGGCTGGCATACTGGTAAGATTTTACAAGTGTAGCATCTCATATTACTAGGAGACAGTCACACAGCAAACCCCCTGATCCTCTGGCTCTGGCAATCTTTCTGCCTCCCCTTCTGCAGGGTTCTTCAAGCCTTAGCTACACAAGTGTTTTATAGATGTATCCGCTGGGCCTGGGCTCCACAGCTCTGCATTTTGATGGGCTATGGTTTTCTGCAGGGGGGGTCTTCATCTGTTGCAAAGAGAAGTTTCTTTGATGAGGGGTGAAGACTACACTCATATGTTTATGGATTGTTAGGAATCATGCTGGTATGGTAAATTACAAGTCATAGATTCTCCTCAGATTGCCATGACTTCACTAGCACTGAGTAGTTACCTGGGTTTGCTGAGCAGTTCTCAAGACCAATGAGAGAGTTGTTAGTTACCGTCAAGGTATATGTACCACTACTGCACCCTTAGGGTTGTGGTACCAGGCTGCTCATTGATGCTGGTTCATGGGCGTCATAGCTTGGCAGGGGTGTTGGCTGACTCCCTCCTTTGGAAGCGTGCATACTGCCTTCTGGTACCATGAAATTTAGTCCTTTGGGAGGAAGCATTCAGGTCAGTTTCAACTCAGGAGTCTCTGGGCCTTGTTTCTGAAGTATGTAGTGTCTTCAGCAGTAACAGGGGTAACCAAGGGCAATGGGAATAGGCTGTATGTTTGGGGAGTCTCTTGGACAGCCTTGTCTAACAATTCAAAAGAGGGGGTTCTCTCTCTCTTTTTTTTTTTTGTTTTGTTTTTTTTTTTTTAGAGACAGGGTTTCTCTGTATTGTTTTGGAGCCTGTCCTGGAATTCGCTCGGTAGACCAGGCTTGGTCTCGAACTCTCAGAGATCCACCTGCCTCTGCCTCCCGAGTGCTGGGATTAAAGGCATGCACCACCACCACCCGGCTCCCCCTCCAGCTCTTATCATCTGCTGCTCTACTGATCTTTGCCATTCCTACTGGCTAAGACAAAATTTCAAAGTTGTTTTGATGTGCATTTCCCTAATTCATAGGAATGATGACCCCCTCCCCCAAAGACAAGGTTTCTCTGTGTAGTAGCCCTAGTAGTTGTCCTGGAACTAGTTTGTTTTTTTGTTTTTTTGTTTTTTTTTTTGGTTTTTCGAGACAGGGTTTCTCTGTGGCTTTGGAGCCTGTCCTGGAACTCACTTGGTAGTCCAGGCTGGTCTCAAACTCACAGAGATCCACCTGCCTCTGCCTCCTGAGTGCTGGGATTAAAGGCGTGCGCCACCAACGCCCGGCTGGAACTAGTTTTTATAGATCAGGCTAACCTTGAACTCACAGAGATACACATGCCTCTGCCTCCCAAGTGCTGGGACTGAAGGCATGTGCCACCACTGCCAGGCTTGAACTTTTTTTTAATGGATATTTCTCAAGGGCTGGAGAGATGGCTCAGTGATTAAGAGCACTGACTGCTGTTCCAGAGGACCTAGGTTCAATTCCCAGCAGCTACATGGCAACTTACAACTGTCTGTAACTCCAAGATCTGGCACCCTCACTCAGACATACATGCAGACAAAACACCAATAAAATAAGAAAATACCACACTGCTGCTCCAGATGAGCTGAGTGTCTTGTGAGCTTCCCATCTCAGTCTTCCTGACTCATCCTCACCGTCCTAGAATTACAGAAGTGTGCCACGGTTCTTTACACGCCTTGTGGGGATTGAAATCCAGTCCTTAGGCTTGTAGGACTAACCCTTTTACCCTCTGAGCTACACAATTACTCTGGGTTGTCTGTAATTCCAACACTTGGGAGGTAGACTCAAGAAGATAAGAAATTCACGGTCTATGCCGGGCGTTGGTGGCGCACGCCTTTAATCCCAGCACTTGGGAGGCAAAGGCAGGCGGATCTCTGTGAGTTTGAGGCCAGCCCGGTCTACAGAACAAGTTCCAGGACAGCCTCCAAGACAATACAGAGAAACCCTGTCTCGAAAAACCAAAAAGAAAAAAAAAAAAAAAGAAATTCATGGTCTAGCCCAGCGGTGGTGGCGCATGCCTTTAACCCCAACACTCGGGAGGCAGAGGCAGGTGGATATCTGTGAGTTTGAGACCAGCCTGGTCTATGGATCGAGTTCCTGGACAGCTAGAGCTGTTACACAGAGAAACCTGTCTCGAACCCCCCCCCAAAAAAAGATAGAAAATAAGAAAGAATTTCAAGGTCACACTTGGCTACAAAATGAGTTCCAGGCCAGCATACATTAAATGACTATGTTTCAAAATAAAGTGAGAATAATTGTATCTATCCTGTAGACTTGCTCAGTTATACCAAATTGGTACAAAGTACTGACTACATGTCTCCTGTGCTAGGAATAAAAAGGGGGGCTCAAGCCGGGTGTGGCGTCCTGAATCTTTGATCTCAGCACTCTCAGGGTTTTAGTCCCAGCACTTTAATCCTAGATAGAGGCAGAGGCAGGCCAGCCTGATAGAGTTCAAGGCCAGCCTGATTTACAGAGTGAGTTCCAGGACAGCCAGGGTTAGCTACACAGAAGAAACCCTGTCTCAAGCCAGGCGTTGGTGGTGCACGCCTGAGGCAGAGGCAGGCGGATCACTGTGAGTTCGAGACCAGCCTAGTCTACCGAGCGAGTTCCAGGACAGCCTCCAAAACAATACAGAGAAACCCTGTCTCGAAAAACCAAAAAAAAAAAAAAAAAAAAAAAAGAAACCCTGTCTCGAAAAATAGATAAGGTGGTTCAAAACAAAAGAAATAGTCCCGAAACATTTGTCTCATCTGAAGTTTTTATTAGTTTCGTTTTTTTCGAGACAGGGTCTCGCTGTGTAGCTCTGACTGTCCCGGGACTGGCTCAGTAGACCAGGCTGGGGTTAAAGGCATGCGCCACCACCGCCAGGCTGAAGCCTTTATTTGGAAGGATGGGTTTACAAAATGGTTTATTTCTTCCCAGGTCTTCTATTTCTTACTTCTACACCTAGAACACACATGTCAAAGAAATGCAGTCATGAGATCTTAACGGTGGTGCAGCGCCGCCTTTAGTCTGTCTGCTCCAGGCCAGAGCCCTCTGCGACTCGAACTACAACTTCCACAATGCATCTCTTCCGGCCTGCGTAGCGGGGAGTGTGCGCCTGCGGACCGAATTCTAGGTAGCTTCCGCTCTGGAGGCAACGTAAACCGGATGTTAATAGTACCTAGAATTACTTCCTGGTTCGTTAACGTATAACATTTTAGCCTTCCGCCAGCGAGTTAAATAGTCCCGTTGGTACTTTGCTCCATAGATAATTTGTAGGGACTTATTCTAACCCTACATCTCCGCGGAAACGCTCAACAATTGGGTAAATTTGAGCACGGCAGTGGCGAAGAGTAATTAGAATTACACATCTCTAGTTCCCCCCACACCCGGCGTGTGCGTAGGGATCTCGCACTATATAAGAGCGGCCGGCGAGCAGCCGGATCCTCTTTCGGGTCTGGGCTCCAAGATGGTGAGTGTGGCCGCGTGCGGGTCGCGCGAGCCTGGGCGGTGGGTGGAAAGCGGGGTCTCGGATAGCAGGGACCTGAGAGCCGGAGCCTCGCAGGAGGCAGTGAGAAGGCGCGCTTCTGAGCCCGGGTTTGAGATCCGCATGGCTCGCCTTGCCGGGGCCGCGAGGGGTGGCCGGCCGGAAAGGGCTGAAGCCGAGGAAGTCGCCCCTGCTTTAATGGATGCTTTACTCCCGTCCAGACCAAAAAAAGACGAAACAACGGGCGCGCCAAAAAGGGCCGCGGCCACGTGCAGCCCATTCGCTGCACGAACTGCGCCCGGTGCGTGCCCAAGGACAAGGCGATTAAGAAGTTCGTCATTCGGAACATAGTGGAGGCCGCTGCTGTCAGGGACATATCCGAAGCGAGCGTCTTCGACGGTGAGCACAGGGCGGAGGGAAGAGGGTGGGCGTGCGTGGCTCCCTTTGGTGTTTTCGGCGCTGGGCAGACGCTGCCTTTAATCGCGTGGTAAACAGGCTTAACGTAGAGGTGTGAGCGTGGGTTTCTTGCTTACGTGGAGGTTTGGACTTGGGTTTTTGTTAGTTCTTTTGGGTGGAGACGGAGCCTCATGCAGTGCTAGGCAAATCCATCCCGGTGACTCCGCGTGTAGGAGATGGGGATCCGAACATAGATCACTCAACTACTTTAAAAAGGTCAAAGACCGGCATGTAAATAGGACCGTGCAGGTAGTTTGTGATTTTCTTTATTCCATTTTTTGGATGTGCTCCCTCTGTATACTAGGCTGGTTATGAAGTGCGAATGGTAGGCATTGGACTCGTCCCCGCCCTGGCTTGAGCTATTATTCTCAACTGTGTGGTCCACTCTAGCTTCCAGTATCCCTTAGGCCTTTGAATGGAACGTCTTTCCCAAGAGATGGAATTTTATCCTCGGTATCTCAGTATATGTAGGCTGTGGTCTTGATTCCTTGATGGTGAGGTGGGTTTGGTTTGCAGGTGGTATTCAGTAAAACAGACTTAAGAGTTGGTTCAAGTGATGTGACTAATAGAAGAGGGAATGACAAAAGTGAGGGTCTGTATCTAAACTGCTTCTCTGTCTGCCAGCTTATGTGCTTCCCAAGCTCTATGTCAAGCTGCACTACTGTGTGAGCTGTGCCATTCACAGCAAAGTAGTCAGGAATCGATCTCGTGAAGCCCGGAAGGACCGGACACCCCCACCACGGTTTAGGCCCGCTGTAAGTAAACCTGCTCATTTTCCCTTGAGGTGTGGGTTTGTGACCGTAAACTCTACTTAGATTTGAGTCTGGTGTGACATTTGTAACCAACCTACATTTAGTGTTTGCTTTTTCAGAGTTGGTAGGCTGTTGACGCTGGAATAGTATGATGTCTTGCCCAAATTTATTTATGGCCCCAAACCATTGATATTGGTGATAGGGGCGGGGCATTCAAGGTCTATTCTTTGGAGTTTTGTTTGTTTTTTATGATGCCAGGGACCAAATCCAGGTCCTTGGTTGTTGAACTACATTTGGGTTTTTATGTATTATGTGTATATTCCCTAAGTCTCCCCGTGGCTTAGGTAACCTAGGAGTCTTCTGCTTCTGGGGTACAGGAATTAAAGGGGTCTACCTCACCAGGCTTAGATAATGTGCCTTGTTGTAATTAGTTCCTTTTATGTCTTTCAGGGTGCTGCACCACGACCTCCACCAAAGCCCATGTAAAGAGATGGCTTCATGAAGACAAACACCTTGGAAAAATAAAACAGTGCTTTATGTAGCATTTGAGTGTGTCTGTGTCAGGTGTGAATTGTGGGTTTCCTTTTTCTGTGTGTGCTTCTGGAGACCACGAGGCAGAACAAACTTTATACATTTATTGAGTCAGTCTCTAGTCTAGCCAGCTGGATAGAAAATCTAAGCCAAGAGAATTCTAGGTTAGTTTACCCCTGTTAATGACATGTGTGACCATGTCATTTATAGATTTGTGGATTTGAAATGAGGTCTGCTATCCTTGGTAGGTTTGGTGCTAGGATTACAGTTGTGAGTCCCTGCACTTGAATGTCTTTACCTCTTCAGAAACCTGTTCTTACTGATAGGGGTAGCTCTTAACACATGAGGCTAAAGTGTGGATGGCAACTTGCCGAGGTCAGCTCGTTCTTTCAACTATGTGTCTGACACAAACTAAACATCACTCTTGGGAACTAGTCTGGTCCAAATAGCTAACAATGCCGAGTGGTGCTTCTTTCTGTAAGTATCCTACGATTAAGGTATAAATTAAGACTTAGTTGTGAAGCTGGGGTTCCAGAGTCAGTCATTAGGTGTGGCTAAAACATACATGCAAACTTAAAAAGATGGCACCATAGTTTAAAAACTATAACTCTAGTTTGGAGCCAGGCAGTGGGGCCTTTGACTCTATCGGCTGTAGTTTGGTGTTGAGCTGTGAGGTGGGCTTATGGTGGCCATCACTAAGTTGACTGCTAGCTGGATTGCCTTTGCACACAGCCTCAATGCTTAGCTTTCCCTCTTTGTTTACACCACAACTAACGTGCATAAGTTTTATTATATACCGTGTGTGCAGTGCCCACAAGGGCCAGAGGAGGGTGGGGGGTTCCTGGAGTTAGGAGGGTTTGAACTGTTGCTGGCAATCAAACTAGGGCCTCTGAAGGAGCAGTCAGTGCTAACTGCGGAGCCCTCTCCAGCCCTAACCTGGGTCCATTTGTTGGTTTTTCAAGACAGGGTTTCTCTGAACCATCCTGGCTGTTGTGGAACTTGCTTTGTAAACAGGCTGGCCTTGAATTCAAAGGTCTGCCTGTCCCTTATTTTTGTCCACCTTATTTTTGGTTGAGACAGGGTTACTCTGTAAGCCCTGGCTGTCCCAGCTTTTTTCCTTTTTTTTTTTTTTTTTTTTTGTCTTCAACTGAACATTTATGCAGAGCTGGGGATTGGATTTAGGGTCTCTCTTCATGCTGTGTTAATTTTCTCCACCCTGACCAAAATACCTGACAAACTGTTGAAGTGAGAAAGGACTTCCTTGGACTCTTGGTTCAGAAAGGGTAGTTCCATCAAGGTTGGGAGGAATGGCTGAACACAAGGTGGCAGAAACCATTGCAGTTGACATAGGAAGAGCTGGCCAGGAGCCGCCATCCCTGTAGTCCTAGCTCTCAGTAACAGGAGAATCAGGAGTTCAAGGTCAACTACAAATCCTGTTGCTTTTAAACAGGAGGGTTGGGGCTATACCTCAAGTAGTATAACTTACCTAGTGTCTTAGGATACCCTTTGCTGTGACAACACTATGCCAACAGCAACTTGGGGAGGGAAGGGTGTATTTCATCTTTTATTGCAGGCTGTTAGCATCACTGAGGGAAGTCCTGCAGGAAGTTCAGCAGGGCAGAAACCTGGAGGCAGGGAGCAGAGGCTGTGGATCAGTTAGTTACTGCCTTTTGTTTTTTATCGTTTTATCTTTTTTTTTTCAACCATCAGTTTTTTTTTTTGAGACAGGGTTTCTCTGTGGCTTTGGAGGCTGTCCTGGAACTCACTTTGTAGACCAGGCTGCAACCATCAATTTTTTATAAATGCACCACAGGTCAATCTGGTGGGAGCATTGTCTCTATTGAGGCTCCCTCTTCCCAAATGACTAGCTAGAGGCAAGTTAATATAACTAACCAGTATATGTATTGTGCATGAAAGCCTGGGCTCTATCCCCAGTAAGGCATAGCACAATACAGGTGGGGTGATGTACACTTAAAATTCCAACACCTGGGAGGTAGGGACAGAAATCAGCTACATACGGAGTTCAAGACCAATCTAAAATACATGTGACCCTCCCACAATAATTAACAAAAATCCAAAAGACTATTTTAACTGATTGCAAACAATAATGGTTGTCAGCTCCACTAGTGACCTGCTTCTGCTAGTCACTTGGAAAATAGTGCCACAGATGTGACTAAGCCTTCAAGACATACCTGTGAGCTTGGTTCAGATTAGAAAGAACATGTATCCACCACAGCTCACCTCCAAACGTTTTAACACTTCTTAGTCTTCTGTGTGTAGGTGCATTGCCTGAATGCATTTTTGTGTACCACATGTGTAACCTTAGAGTCGGAAGAGGGAGAAGATCTGGAACTAGAATTATTGTAGGCCACCATGTGGGGGCTGGAATTGAACCCAGGTGCTCTGCAAGGACAAGTCTGAGTCATCTCTGCCTCCCCTTTAAAATTTGCTATTATATATATATGTTAGTTACTGTGTGTGTGTTGTGTGTGGCCGTCAGGTCTGATGGCATGCACACTTATCTACTGAGCTATCTTACTGGCTCATAAAGTCTATTCTTGCAGTCACTATTGTGATATGGATGTATCCACTTAATGTGTATGGAGTTTGTGACCTCTGAGAAGACTCTTGCCTTCTCACAGACTCGATGCAGTTATAATTTAAAGATTTATTCATTAGCTGCTGACAGGACGAAAGCCTTGAAGCCCAATCTCAGGCATGTCATGAATGGGTACATGTAGGAAAGGAAAGGGTTTTTAAAAGGGAAAACCACAATATCGAGGTGAGCAAAAAAAAAAAAGTGTTTTGCCAAGTAGTGAAATAACTTAAGACAATTTTGGGGTATCTGCATAAGCAAGTTACAGAAGCCAAAAAAGCAACCAGTCACAACAAGTTAAGATAGTCACTGCTGCACATTTTGAGGTGATGGTCAACATGTTTGAGGTGGGGGCTCAGGGACCAGAGAGACAAACAACTATTGGGTACCAAGATGGATGCCTGATGTAAAATGGAGTTTAACCATCACAAATTAGTCAGCTAATGAGTCTTTTCAAAATAGATGTCCATAATGAAAGCACTGGGACTAGAATATAATTGTATTTGTTCAATGATCTTTAACTTTCATGCATATGGGTGTTTTGCCTACCCGTAAGTCGGTGTACCACAAACATGCAATGCTCATAGAGGCCAGAAGAGGGCACCAGATCCCCTGGAACTGGAGTTACAGATGGTTTTTGAGACATGGAACCTGGATGCTCTGGAAGAACAGCTAATGCTCTTAACAGCTGAGCTAGCTGTCCCCAGCCTTGTTCAATAAATATTCATCTCCTCTATACTTGGGACTTTCTTCAGAGTCCAAGTCCTGTTACACAAAGCCAACCAAGTAAGAATCTAAAAGAACCAGGCGTGGTGGCACACACCTTTAATCCCAGCACTGGGAGAGTTCGAGACCAGCCTGTCTACAGAGAGAGTTCCAGGACAGCCTCCAAAGCTACACAGAGAAAAACCAAAAAATAATAAATAAAAATATATATTTTATTTTTATTCATCTTCATGAATGATTGTATGTATGCCACATGTGTGGAGATCCCTAAAGAGGCCAGAAGTGGGTATCAGGTCCCCTGAAATTGTGCTGGAAACCAGACTCAGGGCTGGTCAGAGGTGTGTGCCACCATGCCCATTCTTTTTTTTTTTTTTTTTTTTTTTTTTGGTTTTTATGAGACAGGGTTTCTCTGTATTGTTTTGGAGGCTGTCAGTCCAGCCCGGCCTCGAACTCACAGAGATCCGCCTGCCTCTGCCTGAGTGCTGGGATTAAAGGCGTGCGCCACCACCGCCTGGCCACCATGCCCATTCTAAGGATAGCCGCTGCCTTTTGTTTCTTTTTCAAGATGGAACTGGCTCAGTAGACCAGGCTGGCCTCAAACTCTCACAGATCAGCCTGCCTCTGCCTCCCAGTGCTGGGGTTAAAGGCTTGAGCCACCACTGTCTGGCTGCTTTTTTTTTTTTTTTTTTTTGAGATAGTATCCAGTATAGCCCAGGCTAGCCCAAACTCTCTGTGTAGCTGAGAATGCCCTTGAACTTCTGACCCTCCTGCTTCTACCACCCAAGTATGGAATTCTAGGTATGCCACACCAAGTCCATCTCTGAGGCTGATTTTGTTTTTGTTTTGTTGTTGTTTTTTCGAGGCAGGGTTTCTCTGTGGCTTTGGAGTCTGTCCTGGAACTCGCTCTGTAGACCAGGCTGGTCTCAAACTCACAGAGATCTGCCTGCCTCTGCCTCCCGAGTGCTGGGACTAAAGGGGTGCGCCACCACCGCCCAGCCTGAGGCTGATTTTTAAAGAGAGTCCAGCCTGCTAACTCTAGCCCTCAGGGTGGTGGGCAGGGAGGAGGAAATAGGACCAGGAGTTCAGTCATTCTGCATCCTGGGATGCACAGTAAATTCAAGACCAGCTTGTGCTACATGAGACCCTGTCTCGAAACAAACAAATCAAATCTTTAAGGTTGAAACATAGCTCAATGACAGATCACAGGCTTATTATGCAGGAGGCCCTGGTTTGGTCCCCAGACAGTTGTAGACAGAAACAAAACTAAACCCAACCATTTAGGAGTTGGTTTTGTTGTTTTGTTTTGTTTTTCAAGACAGGGCTTCTCTGTGTAGTCCTGGCTGTCCTGAAACTCACTCTGTAGACCAGGCTGGTCTCGAACTCACAGACATCTGCCTGCCTCTGCCTCCCAAGCGCTGGGATTAAAGTCATGCACCAACACTGCCTGGCTCCATTTAGGGTTTTGAGGTTACCTCAATGGTAAAACACATGCTTAGCATGTCTGAGGTCCTAAATTTAACCCTTAGCATTGTACTACACACACACCCAAGATTAGTGTTTTCATAGCTCTGCTGAGTATAATCTATAGTGTAAGGACTGGTGCCAAACACTAATCCCAGAGAGGAGGGGGACAGAGAGAGAGAGAGGGAGAGAGAGACAGAGACAGAGAGAGATTGGCAGTGTACAGGGAG